TATTGCTAAATTAAAATGATGAACTGAGATAATGATGCTTGTTTGAAGAGCCAGTGCAGGATTGAGGGACCGAATGACCTCCGTCTGTGCTGTGACAATTCTGTGATGATTCAACAATCTATTTTCCCACAGTTTGGTGTCCTTCACTCTCTGAAGGATTAAACAAGTTGAAGAAACCTGTGTCAGTTTTACATCAGAGGGTTTCTGATCTGTGAATTAATCAATGTCAACATGTGTACTCCTTACAGGGGAAGGAAATGTATTTGAAATGAGTCAATGATTCTTCTACAGCACAATGCTGACTGGTTTGATACTCAGTGTCTTTGTTCTACTTTCACCTGTTTTCACACGAGGTGAGTGCCAAATTTCCAATGGGAACATTCATATTCTTTAACTCCATTGCAGTATTTCATTAATTTACACATTTACTAACCTGAAGGAAGGTAAAAATCTCATACTTTAATCAAAGTTCATAAGATCACTTGACAAGTACCGACAATTTGTTAAATGATTCTTACTGTCCTCCTCTCCTGCCCATAACAGTGATTGGTTCTCAAAATTTATTTTCTTTTCTTTTCCATTTTACAAGAGCAAGTGGGGTGTTTCCTGAAACCTCATTTTAGCAGCCAAATTAAAAATAACCCACAGCAAATTATTTAGCATTAATACAAAGTGAGGTTTATTACACTATTCAAAATCCGGGTAAATGCTTTGTAATGCACATTCATCCTCCATCCAAGATAGGGTGGAAAGTGGAAGGAAAGAAGTTACTAATTATAAATACTTAAAATCCAAGTGAGGAAATCTATTTTGCAAATATTTGCATCCAGTGAGTCAATGTCTCCTTGAGTTTTCTTCAGTTGGCTGTGCCAATGTAGAAGTTCAGAAGCCACCAAATTGCTGATGGAAGTTTTGGTTACATGGGGCTTGACTTACTTTACAGGGAAACACAGGTTTGTTTTCAGGCATCAGACTGCTGCGAGATATCGAGATCAGGAGCAGGTGGCTATCTGAGCCTGGAGCTGCAAACTCATTATACTATCAGCAGACTGAAGTACAGGAGTTAATTCTGATTGGCTAAAGCTGATTCGAACAAACCCAGTAGCTCCAGTTTCAGGTTTCAGTTTTCGCTATTCAGCTGACAAGATGTTTGATATCCTGGTCAAAGCTTATTGTATTCTGGGATAGATAACTATGGAGTCATTGGGAACAATTCAATCCAGAATGTTTGATGTTGCGATCGTTAACCATCCCACTGTTTATGGTCGAACTGCAGTGATTAGATATGAACTCTTTGTTGTGCATCAGCTTAGCTCGATCTATCACACACTAATTTTGTAGTTTAGCATGTAAGGCAACCTATGTTGTACCTTCACAAGGTTGGCACTTTATTTTTAAACATGTTTGTTGCTGCTCATTTTTTTCTGAGCCAGGAGTTTTACAGATTGTGGCTGAATGTAATTCTACTTCTTTCCTGCAGAATTCTGCAACACCTCATGCATGTACAGACTTGAATTGCTCGATGTGTTCAAAATCTATCCTTTTCAGCACATAAACACAATAAAACGGATCCACTTTGGGGCTCTTGTGGCACCTACGTCCTTTGTATGGGCCAGAAGACCCAGTTTCAAATCCCACCTGCCTCAAAGGTGGTCATGACATGTTCAAACTGCTTGATTGAAAATATCACTAACATTGTTCGCTGTGAGGTTATCCACTTTGGTAGGAAAGACAGATTATTACCTAAATGGGAATACTTTTGGAAAGGATTATGTGCAATGAGACCTCGATGACCTTGTACAACAGTCACTGAAAGTAAGCATGGAGGTGGAGCACAGGGAGATGAAGGCACACGACATATTTGCTTCATAGCAAGATGATTCAAGTCCAGGAGCAGGGATATCATGCAGTAATTTTATGGAGCCTTGATGAGACCACACTGAGAGCATTTTGTACAGTTTTGGTCTCCTTATCTAAGGAAGGATGTTCTGGCTTTGGACAACTGATTCCTGGGATGGGCGGACTGATGTATGAAGAGAGACTGGATTGCCTTGCACTGGAGTTTAGACAATGATGGGGGAACTCAGAAACCTGCAAAATTCTAGCAGGGCAAGACAGTGTGAACACATTCCAGGTGTTCTCAATGACCAGGGAGTCTGGAACAGTCACAGTATAAGGATATAAGGAAGGGCATTTATGTCTGAGATGAGAAGAAACGTCTTCACTCTTAAAGTGGCAGGTCTGTGGAATTCTCTTTCACAGAAAGCAGTTGAGGCCAAAAAATTGAAAGTTTTCAAAATAGAGTTCAACATAGTCCTTTGGATTAAAGGTTCAAAAGATATGGGGAGATGGCAGGGACAGGATGTTGGATGGTCAGCCAAGATTATGTGGAATGGCAAAGCAGGTTCAAAAGGCTAAATGGCCTATACAGGCTCCTATTTTCTATGTTTCTGTCTATCCTTAATGTAAAGGAGGGATTTTCTCTCCATAAGGACTCTTTGCTGGTTACTCCTGACAGTTTTGTCATTGACTGATGCATCTGCTCCAGACAGATTGGTGAGCACAATGTCAAATATGTTTTTCGCTTTGTTGCTTCCTTCGTCACTGCCAAGGCACAATTTGGCAGCTGTATATTTTTGGACTTGGCCAGCTCAGTCAGGAATGGTGCTCCTGAGGCACTGTTTGTGGTGGACATTGAGTTTCCCTACCCTGATATTTTCTGGGTATTGTCACCCTCATTGTGTCCTTCACCAGCTGATGAGAGCTGTGGGATGAGAGATGATAATCAGTAGGAGTTTCATTCCCAATGTTGCCCTGATGCGTTGTGACCTCATGAGGTCAAGAGTCAATGTTCTGGGCTCTCCCAGGGGAACTCCGTCGTCATTGTGTATCAATGCGCCACTATCTCTCATGAGACTGTCAAAATGGTGGCATGATGGTGGTATCTGGAATATTGTCTGTAAGGTATGTTTCAGTGAGAATGATGGTGTCAGGTCTTTGTTTGTCTCGTCTGTGAGACAGTATCCCAACTTAGACAGAAGTCCCCAAATACCAGGAAGGTTCGATACAGTGGGTTGGCAGGGCTGAGACAGTATCCCAACTTATGCAGAAGTCCCCAAATACCAGGAAGGTTCGATACAGTGGGTTGGCAGGCTGAATTTGCTGCTGTTGTATCCAGTGCCTTGGTTGGTGTTGGTTAATCCTTCCTTTTTAAGTTCTTTTATCAGATTTTGTTGGAGGATGACATGACTCCGTGGTTTGTTAGGCAGTTTCAGAGGACATTTAACAGTTAACCACAGTGGTTAGACCAGGCTGGGTTAGGATGGCAGATCTTCCTTCCCAAAAGGACATCCATGAACCACTTTAGGTTTTTACAATAATCACCAATAGTTACATGGTGATCAGTTAGCTTTTACTTGCAGATGTATGAATTGAATTAACAGGTTTCACCATCAGTTAAGGTGGGATTTGAATAAATTCCCCAGATAATTAATTTGGAGTCTTGGTACTGCTGGTCGTTTGATGAAACCACTATACCACCAGCGCAGAGATGGTAAGAACTGCTGATGCTGGAGTCAGAGTTAACACATGTGGAGCTGGAGGAACACAGCAGGCCAGGCAGCATCAGAGAAGCAGGAAAGTTGACTTTTCGAGTCGGGACCCTTCTTCAGAAATGGGGGAGGGGAAAGGGAGATCTGAAATAAATAGAGAGAGGATGGATGGGGCTGGGGAAGGGAGGTGGGATGGTGATAGATGAGTGCAGGTAGGCAGTGGTGGGAATTGGTCAGTGAAGTGGGAGGAGCAGATAGGTGGAGAGAAGATGGGCAGGTTGTGTCAGGTCAAGGAGGTAGGGATGAGAGGGAGAGTTGGTCATGGGAGCCTACAACCTGACGGTCTCAATATGGACTTTACCAATTTCAAAATCTCTCCACCCCTGGCCTCATCCCATGACCAACCCTCCCTCTCATCCCCGCCTCCATGACCTGACACAACCTGACACAACCTGTCCATCTTCTCTCCCACCTTTCCACTCCTCCCACCTCACTGACCAATCCCCACCACTGCCTACCTGCACTCACCGATCACCATTCCACCTACCTTCCCCAGCCTCACCCCTCCCCTCTCTATTTATTTCTGAGCTCCCTTCCCCCTCCCCCATTTGTGAAGAAGGGTCCTGATCTGAAACATCAACTTTCCTGCTCCTCTGATGCTGCCTGGCCCGCTGTGTTCCTCCAACTCCACAC